GGTGGCTGCTGTGTGGGGAGGGTTGTGGGGTTTATTATTTTGTTTGTTTGCTGCAGCTCTGCTGCAGCAGTGTCACAAATCAAGCACCAGTGATCGCTGCTGCTGCTGCAGCTGCTGCAGCTGCTGCTGCTGCTGCTGCTGCTGCTGCGGGCTTCGATGGGTATCTCCCCGGTGCCAAGCTGTTCATAGGCAACGCTGCCTTCAGTCTGTGGGGCCCAGAATGCAGCTGTCTCCTCCAGGGCATCTATAGGAGACACCGCGCACAAGCAACCCGCCTGGCTGCTGCTGCTGCAGTTGTTGCTGCTGCTGTTGCTGTTGCTGTGGCTGTGGCTGTGGGGAGCAGCTAATTGGCGGCAGCTCGGAGGTATGTCTGGAAGCGCATCACGCTGCAGCAACAGCAAAGGTGGTTGCCGCAGCTGCTGTTGCTGCTGCTGCTGCAACTGTTGCTGCTGCAACTGCAACTGCAACTGTTGTTGTTGTTGCAACTGCTGCTGCAACTGCTGCTGCAGCTGTTGTTGCTGCTGCAGCTGTTGCTGCTGCTGCAGCTGCTGCAGCTGCTGCGGGCAGCCTGAGGCATACAGCAGCAGCAAAGGTCTAGGGCTCAACGTTGTGGGGGTCTCCAGCAGCCACGGGCTCGAAGCAAAGGCCCCACTGGGGAGCTGTGGGGTGTCGGGCAGGCAGCTGCTAGCTAGGGGAGCGGCAGCAGCAACCCAGGAGACATTTTGCTGCTGCTGCAGCAGAAGCTGCTGCTCTTGCTGCTGTTGCTGCTGTGAAGGCACAAGACCAGCTGTCAGCAGCGGAGAGACACAAGCTTTCTCTTTCTCGTGCTTCAGCCCGCCCTCCTCTACTGCCTGCACAGACTGCTGCTGCTGCTGCTGCTGCTGCTGCTGCTGCATGGCTGTTTGTGTCTCCTGGGGTTTGTCATTTTCTTGATGCTGCTGTTTGTGCATGTTGCTGTTTGGGGTTGGGGCTTCCTTTTTATTTGCTGCTGTGCTTGTCTCCGTGTCTGCTGCTGCTGCTGCTGGAGCTGCTGCTTCCCCTTGGACATCTCTGTCTCCTTTTCTTATATCCTGCTGCTGCTGCTGCTGCTGCTGCTGATCTAAGTCAGGTAAGGGGTTGTTGTAAGGGTTAACTTGTACTTGAGCGAGGTGGAGTATCTGGTGCGACTGTTCGTGCTGCTGCTGCTGGTCCTGCTGCTGCTGCTGCTGCTGCTGTTCGTCTTGCTGCAGCAGCACTTGCTGCAGCTTCTTGGGGTGCAGCGTTTGCCCTGTAGGAGTCAGATACAGCAGCTGCTGACGGTGGCGCTGCTCAGGCCCCAAGCAGCAAGAGAGAGAGCGGCCCTTCCACCTTACAGCTTTTTGTCTCTCTTTCTTCTTTGTCCCTTCACCAGGAGACAGCAGCACACCTCCTGCTGCTGCTGCTGCTGCCGCTGCTGCTGCTGCTGTTCCTGCTGCTGATCCTGCTCCTGTTGCTGGTCTTGCTGCTGCTGTATGTGCAACTTCAGCAGCAGACTGCAGACTAACCTCCGAATCCAAACACTCATCCGGACCCTCCTCCTGCTCTTGCTGCTGCTGCTGCTGTTCCTGTTGCTGCTGCTGCTGCTGTGTGGGGTGTTCGCGGCCTGTTGCCTCCCAGGCGAGCTGCTGCTGCTGCTGCTGCTGCGCCCCTTCCGCCTGCCAGCTGGGGTGTCTCTGCAGCTTCTCAGCGGAGACTGTATGACCGCGGGTTCGAGTGAAAGAGGAGGCAGAAGGTTTGTTTACTGCTGCTGCTGCTGCTGCTGCTGCTGCTGCTGCTGGTGCAGCTGAAGCTGCTCTAGCCCTTAGGGCCTTCCCTGTCTCTTTACTGTTTTGCTGCTTCTCTCTCGCCTCCCGCATACCCGTTGCTTCGATGCCCCGCGTAGCAGCAGCAGCAGCAGCAGCAGCAGCAGGGGCGTCTTCTTCTTCCGAAGACTGCTGCGGCTGCAGCAGCAGCAACTGCTGCTGCTGCTGCTGCTGCTGTTGCTTGTGCGTGAGGCCTGCAAGCCTGTCTCCTCCATTTGCATAAAGCAGCTGTCGACGTATACTCTCTACTTGCTTTTCAAGAGACAGTGGCAGCTGAGTTGCGCTCCTGAGTTTATATCTGCCTCTGTCTCCTCGACTGTCTCCTCGGCTGTCTCCTCTGCTGTCTCCTTCGCTGTCTCCTTCGCTGTCTCCTTCGCTGTCTCCTCCTCCTTCCTTTAAAGCCTTTGATACAAAACAGCTGCGTGCCCGTACCCCTCTGGAGGGGCCCCCTAGGGGGCCCCTAACAGACCGGGGGCCCCTAGGGGGGCCCCCTACAGGCTGAAGGCCCCCCATAGGGCCCCCTATAGAACCCCCTATAGAACCCCCTATGGAAGCCCCTATAGAAGCCCCTATAGGGGCCCCTAGGGGACCCCCTAGGGGGCCCCCTAGGGGGCCCCCAGAGTCTGAAGAGACCTCTTCTGAGTTGGTTTCATCTAAGAGGAGAGTAGAGGGGGAGTTGTCTGTCTCCTCTTTGTCTCCTTCGTTTGAGTTCAAAGCCTGAGCCTCCCAGTGCACAAGTGCCTCCTCGTCTTCGTCTTGCTGCTGCTGCTGCTGTTGCTGATGATGCTGCTGCAAGCGGGCCCTGCTGAGGCCCCCATCGAAGCCGCTGCTAAAAGGAGACAGGTCTCCTCGTGTAGGGAGACTCCGCAAGAAGCAGCTCTTTGATCTTCCTTGGGGAGGAGTTGAAGCGGTTCGTTTGCTGCAGCCATCCTCATCTATTTGTTGTTGTTGCTGCTGCTGCTGCTGAAGGGGGAAGGAGCTGCTGCTGAGCTGCAGCTGCAGCTGCTGCAGCGACGGGGAGGATATGTGCGCTGTCTGCGTCCTGAGCCGCATTTGCTGCTGCTGCTGCTGCTGTTTTGTGGTTGCACTGGCTTTAACCCTACGGCCCCCATCTGTCTCCTGCTGTGGCAGCAGCAGCAGCAGTTGCTGCTGCTGTTGCTCCTGCTGCTCCTGCTGCTGCTGCAGCAGCTTGAACAAGGGGTTCTTCTTAGCGGCCTGTGAGTTTAAGGCTGAGACAGTTGCTGTCTCTTCTTTCTCTGCTGCACTCATTTCCTGCTCAAGCGGGGGATTGAAGCGGCTGCCCTTAAATTCAGTTTTGCTGCGGAGACGCGGGGTTGCTGCTGCTGCTGCTGCTGTTGCTGCTGCTGCTGGTTGGGTGCTTCGCTGAGCTAAGCGCGAAGCAGAAGCAGTGAAGGCCCGCTGCCGCAAGGCCGAAGTTGTTTCCTTATCGGTATCGAGCCCCCTTCCTCCCCTCCCAGGCTGCTGCTGCTGCTGCTGCTGCTGCTGCTGCTGCTGGTGAGCAGCAGCCGCTTCATGACCCTTGGTGGTGCTGCGCAGGGCCTCTAGCTCAAGTGCATTCAGCTTAAGTTGTTGCGCGAGTTCGTTTAGCTGCTGCCGCTGCTGCTTGTCTTTCTCTCCCCATGCCTCTTGCTGCGCCTGAAATTGCTGCGCCGTTCGCTCCACCTCTTGCTGCAGCTGCTGCTGCTGCTGCTGCAGCTGCAGCAACGTCTGCAGAAGCTCACGCTTCTCATCCTTCACCCGCAGCAATCGTTCCTTGTAGCGGCTAGCCTTCGCTGTGGTGTCTCTCAGCAGCTTGGCTAGCTCCTGCTGTTGCTGTTGCTGCTGCTGCAGCTGCTGCTGCAGCTGCTGCTGCAGCTGCTGCTGCAGCTGCTGCTGCTGCTTCTGCTGCAGCTGCTGCTGCTGCTTCTGCTGAGTGGTTTGCTGCAGCAGTTCGGCGGCCTCCTGAAGGGCCTCTGGCTGCAGGATAAGGGCACAAGGACGCTCTTGCCAGGTGTCTCCTGTCTCCTCGTGTGTCTGGTTGCTGCTGTTGCTGCTGCTGCTGCTGCTGCTGCCTGCTGGGGCGGCCAGCGGCTTCAACCCACAAACAACGAATTGCGCAGCAGGTGCTGCTGCTGGTTTTGGTGCTGCTGCTGCTGCTTCTGTTCCTGCTGCAGCCGTGCTGAGCCGGAGAAAGCCCCTCAGGGCGGCCGGCGCAGCAGCAGGAGCAGGTGCAGCAGCAGCCGGCGCAGCAGCAGGTGTAGCAGCAGCAGCAGCTGTCTCTACTTCTCCCTGATAGGGCGACAACTCAGCCCCTTGCTGCGGGGGTCCCTGGGGGCCCTGCTGCTGCTCATTAGAATATAGAGAAGAAGGCAGCTTTGATGCGGTGTATGTACAGCTGCTGCTGGCTGCAGAAGCAGCTTCTTGTTCTAAGGAGGAACTGCTGCTGTGCTGCTCAGCAGCATCGCTTGCTGCATGCATTGTTGCTGCTGCTTGCAGCGCAGTGTTCTCTGCTGCTGCTGGTGCATCTGCTGCTGTTGCTGCAGCAGCAGCATTTGGTGGTGGAGGGAAGGCAGAGAAGATCATTGCCTCTTCATCATCGGAGTCTGCAGCAGGCAGCTGCTGCAGCTGCTGCAGCTGCTGCAGCTGCTGCAGCTGCGGCTTGCTCTCTAATTCGCGTTGCAGCTGCAGCACTTCTTCTATTTTCTTTGCATCTGCGTAGGGAGACACCTCAGCTGCGGGGTTTGCTGCTGCTGCGTGCAGGACCCCTTGCTGCTCTTCTTCTTGCTGCATTGACATCGGCTTCGCTGCTGCCTCGCTCTAACTAGCAGCAAACGAAGGCTTACTACAACCTCAACTCTTTTCCTGCCTGGGGAGCTACCTGGCGGGGTACCTGGCTAGCTAGCTGGCTACCTGGCTAGCTAGCCAGCTGGCTACCTGGTTAGCTAGCTGGCTACCTGTCTAGCTAGCTAGTTGGCTACCTGTCTAGCTAGCTAGCTAGCTGGCTACCTGTCTAGCTAGCTAGCTTGCTTGCTACCTGGCTAGCTATCTAGCTAACTAGCTAGCTGGCTCGTTAACGAGCTAGCTGTTCGGGGGAGGGTAACAACTAGGTAGCTAGCTAGTTGGCTAGCTAGCTAGCCAACTAGCTAGCTACACGCGGCTGAGGCACGCGTGCCTCTCTGCCTAGGAGCATGGGCGCCGCGGTGTCTGTACAGGTCCCCACAGCCCGTGGGGGGGTGTGCAGGGTTGCTGCGAAGCAATGACGCTGCCCGCTGCTGCGCAGCTGCTGCTGCTGTTCTTCTAGAGCAGCAGCAGTTTGTTGCTTATCCTGAGGGCTTGTTCTGTCGTGTGTGTGCTGCACCTGCAGCTGCAGCAGCAACAGCAACAGCAGCAGCAGTAGTTGTGTAGTCTCTGTGCATGCATGCGGGAGCTGCAGCAGCTTCTGAGCCGCAGCAAAGCCACAGACACGCCGCTCCTGCCCTCTGTGAAGCAGCAGAAATAAAACTCAAACGCATGCACTCGTTGCTGCTGCAGTGTACAGACACTGCAGGTGTTTGCTGCAGCTAAGCAGCGCGTCTGTAGCAGCCCCGTAGGAGTAGAGTTCCTCTGCGGTCTATTGTTCTAGTATTGTATTTCTTTGCTGATTAAAATAAATTAAAATGAATATATCTATAAATTAAAAACCTTTAATAGACAAAAAGAAAGGACATACTAAGAGAATTATACAAGAGAGAGTGAGGCAGCTGGCCGCACCGCTTGCTGCTGCTGCTGCTGAGAGACTCTGCAACAGCAAACAAGCAGCAGAGAGCTCTTGTTTGTTAATTCGTTTTGTTTTATATCTAATTTTATTTAAAAGTATTTTAAATTTAATTGAATTCAATTAATATATTTAATCGTTTTTATTTCTGCTGTACATACACCCCAGACCGCAGCCCCAGCAAGCGGTAAGACCGCGAGCTGTCTGTACAGCTCAGAGCGTGTTGAGGAGTTTTTAATGATATTTCATAGTTTATTTATTTTATAAAAGATAAAATTTAATTTATTTCTGTTGCATTTGAGCCCTTAAAAAGTAAAACAAACCGCACATCGCTACTTCTCATTGTTTGTCTCTGCTCTTTTTGCTGCCTTTACGCAAACTTCTCTCTAATTTATTACCTTAGAGTTTATTCTTCTCATTTTGCAGGTCCTCTTGTTGAGGTGTACGTACACCCCAAACGGGAAAGGGATTTTATCGCATGCAGACACCCCGTACACGCACTTGGCAGCAGCAACAGCAGCAGCAGCAGCAGCAGCGGTAACAGCAGCAGCAGCAACAGCCAACCGAACAGCAGCACACAGCTGCCAAGTAATAGCAGTAATAAAGGGAGCTTTCGCCGCAGCAGCAGCAGCAGCAACAGCAACAGCAGCAGCAACAGCAGCAGCAAAAGGGTTTGCTGCTGCTGGTAAGACTCCGCTTTCTTAGCTGATGGATGGCGCGAGTGTCTTAGGGATTTTCAATAGGGTGTATAGGCAGCTGGGGATCGGCTGTTCAGGGTCGTGCGTGTGGGGTTTGCTGCTGCTGCTGCTGACGGTTTGCTTGTGGAGTGTCACAGCCTTGCTGCTGCAGCTGCTCTTCCTAGATTCATTTCCTAGGCCTCTCTTCTCTACTCTTGTTCAGAGCTCCTGCCCCGCTGTCTTCTTGCTGCTGCCTGCTGCTGCTGCTCTCCGCAGCAGCAGCGCTTGGAGTGTATGCGGAGATAAGCAGGGCCTCAGGGCCCCCATTTGGCTTGTCGCCTTCGCTGGCTTCCTAGGTACTTGCTGCTCTGCTGCTGCTGCTCTGCTGCTGCTGCTGCTTTGCTGCTGTTGCTACTGATATGCTGCTATTGCTGCTGATTTGCTGCTGTTGCTGTTGCTGCTGATTTGCTGCTGCTGGTGCTGGCTTGCTGCTGCTGCTGCTGATTCGTTATGCTTCTTTCTATTGAAGGTCTTGCGGCTTGTTGCTTTTGTTGCTGCTGCTGTTGCGGTGTCTGCAGCAAAGGATGCGGAGGTGCTCACAGTGGACAGCTGCCTGCGGCTGCTGCAGCAGCAGCGGCAGCGGCAGCAGCAGCAGAAGCAGCAGCAGCAGCAGCAGGCAGGGGGTTTGTTAGCACCTGCGCTGCGGGTAAGACGAAGGCTGCGGCGTCTGCTGCGGCTGCTGCTGCGGCTGTTGCTGCAGCTATTTGGGGGTCGTGCTGCGCGGGGTAGGGTTGCCCCGTCCTCGTCCTCCGCAGCTGCTGCAACAGGTGCTTCTGCTGCTGCTGCTGCTGCTGGCGCAGCAGCAGCAGCAGCAGCAGCAGCAGCATCTCCCCCACCAGCGCTAAGCCCTACTGCGGTTGCGCTCCGACAGCGGCAGCAAGCAGCAGCAGAGACAGCAGAAGGTGAAGAAAATGCACGCAGTGTCTCCTCAAGACATCTCTGCATTAGCCCCACAGGCAGCCTGACAGGTGCCAGCTGTCCGTACACCGCAGGAACAGCAGCAGCAACAGCAGCAACAGCAGCAACAGCAGCAGGTACACCTGCTGCCGCTGCTGCTGCTGTGCGCCCTCCGTCCCCACCTGCAACCAGCCGTCGGCTGCATGCAGCAGATGCACTCAACAGCAGCGGCAACAGCAGCAGCAGCAACAAGTGCAGCAGCAGCCTTGTCGGCGTCGACGCCAGTCACTTGCCTGCAGCAGCAGCAGCAGCAGCAGAGGAGGCGTGGGGTGCTGAGGCTGAGGAGACAGAGAGTCTAGCAGCAAAAGAATTAAAGATAAGAATCAGCAGCTTAAAGAGCACGCTGCCTCTCACTGCTCTCTGGCTGGGTAAGAAGGCGCTGCTGCTGCAGTTGCTGCTGCTGCTGCAGTTGCTGCTGTTGCTGCTGCTGCTGCTGCTGCTGCTACTATAGTTTGGATGTGCGCAGCAGCTTAGGGAGACGCTGGGGGAGAGTTTGATTTATTGTATAGTAGGTGCCTCATGCTGTGTATTTCTGCTGCTTGTGCTGCTGCTGCGTTTGCTGCTGCTGCTGCTGTTGTTGTTGTTGCTGCTGCAGTAGCGCAGCTTGCATACGACGCGAGTCTGACAGCATTAACATTAACATCAAATGCTCTAATTCAAAGCTCGTCTGTCTTTCTTTCATACTTTTTAGCTGTTGTCTTACTTAAACAAATCCCTCAGAAGGCTGTTTGTCTTTGGCTGGTGGTGTTGGCTGGTGGGGTTGCTCTTATCTCCTCTCATGTACCTACACCCCACGAAGCAGCAGCAGCAGCAGCAGCAGCAGCAGCAACAGCAACAGCAATACCAACACCAGCAGCACTAGCAGCAGCACCACCACCTACACCGCTTGATGCAGCACCTCCTGCTCTCCTGCTTCCTGCTGCTACAGAGAGGCTACAACCTCTTGCTCCAGCAGATGCTGCGATGGCGGCACCTGTTCCTGCTGCTGCTGCTGCTGCTGCTGCTGCGGCAAGTGCAGCAGCAGCAGCCACGCCAGCAGAGCCCTCACCTGCTGCTCCAGAACAACTGCAGCAACAGATAACCCCAGAACTCCCTCTCCTCTCCGAAGGCCCGGCAGCAGCAGCAGCAACAGAAGCAGCAGCAACAACAACAACAAAAGCAGCAGCAGCAGCAGCAGCAACAGAAGCAGCAGCAGCAGCAGCTTCAAACCAGCAAACACACGCTCACCAGCTTGAAGGACAGCCAGCTGCAAACGCCTTAAAGGGGCCCCCATGGGAGGGAGGGGCCCCCGAAATGGATGCTGCTGCTGCTGCTGCAGACATGGCTCAGTGGAAACCTACTGCTGCTGCTGTTGCTGCTGCAGCAGGAGACGCTGGACGTGGAGCAGTAGCGGCAGCGCCGATAGCAGCAGGAGACGCAGCAGCAGCAGCAGCAGCAGCAGCAGCAAGAGGAGGAGCAGCAGAAGGCGAGGCATCCGACAGCTTACTGGGGTACCTCCTGGCGCTGCTGGCTGCTGCTGCTTACGCGCTGCACACCACCGCTTTGAAGGCACAGGAGACAGTTGGGGGGAGCCTAGATGTTGATCTTATCTACGGGTGCTGCTGTCTCCTTTGCTGCTGTCTCCTTTGCTGCTGTCTCCTTTGCTGCTGTCTCCTTTGCTGCTGTCTCCTTTGCTGCCATCTATGCTGCTGCAGTCTACTTTGTTCTGCTGTCTCCTTTGCTGTTGTCCCCCTTGCTGCTGTCTGCTTTGTTTGCTGCTTCAGTTGCTGCTGTTGCTTTTGCCCGTTGCAGCTCCAGTTGCTGCTGCTGCTTCAGTTGCTGCTGTTGCTGCAGTATGGATCCTTACTGCGTGTGTGTGAGTGCGCATATGCTGCTGCTACTGGTGTTGCTGCTGCTGCTGCTGCAGTAGGGTTATGCATGATGCTGTGTTGTGTGTGTGTATGTGTGCGTAGGTTGATGGGGCTGTGGGTGCTGCTGCTGCTGCCGCTGCTGACGCTGCTGCTGCACGTGCTGCAGGTGGAGGCGTTCATGTGGCCTGATGCTGTCTCTTGGTTGGTTTTGCTGCTCTGCGGTCTCGTAGGCACTGCCTTCGCAGACCTATGCTGGGGTCAGCCAGCGTTACACTTAGCTAGCTAGCTAGCTAGCTAGCTACGCAGTTTGGTAGCTAGCCTAGCTTCTTGGTTGCCTCGGGGTCGTAGCTAGCTAGCTAGCTAGCTATTACTCCTAGCTAGCTAGCTAGCTAGCTAGCTATTACTTTTAGCTAGCTAGCTAGCTCTGAGTGAGCCTTTGTATATGTATATGGTGTATGTTGGTTGCGTGTATGGGGCTTCTGGCTGCATGCGTTGGGGTGTATGCGCAGGTCGGGCTGTCTTTCTGCTGAACCCAGTGGTGGCGACTGCTGCCTCTAATATTCAAATTCCTATTTCTATGCTTCTTGACGCATTCATCTTCGGACGCAGGTACAGACCCTTACTGCTGCTGCTGCTGCTGCTGCTGTTGCTGTTGTTGTTGCTGCTGCGGTAGCAGGAGCAACGCCAGCAGCAGCAACTACAAGAGTAGCAACAGCAGCAGCAGGAATAGCAGCAGTAGCAGGACTAGTGCAGTAGCGGCAACAGGAGTAGCAGCAGCAGCAGCAGCAGCAGCACGGGTTAGAGTGCTGCAGCAGCACGGGCCCTAAGGACTGTCTTCATTAGTATATTAAAGACGTGCGGTGCACATACACCTCCTCCACC